CACGTGACTCGCTGACGCAACAATACACAGATTATTATCAATACAAACAATAAGCTTAGAAAAATAGAAATATAAATTAACCTTTTAATATAACAATAATAATACTAAATTACAATTTTGTACTTGCGTTTAGTAATGAAGGAAATTTTGTTAAAACTTTTTATCTAGTATCTATACAGTTTTTCCAGAAAACTGCTGAAGTCGCCTTGTTCTAGTTGCTTTTTTCTCTGCAGCAGGTAATATCTGTTCTTTCCGATTGGATGTTATGGTCTGGTTAATATCCTTTGCTGGCCGACTAGATGATGTTTGTATGTTACAGTCAGTGAATAAGTGGGAGAACATCAGTCACGAGGTGACGTTAACGCAAACACAATGAAACCAATGTTTCTTGTATCACCATGGAGACTTGGTTCTGATCAGTTCAACTTGGCAATTTTAGTGACTAGCTCAACAGAATTCTGTCCCAAGATAAAGGAGACTACTAACAAATTCTTCGAACCAGAAGCAAGTCATATTGTCTGCACAAGTACACACACTGCATTTTCTTTTTGTTTGAATATTACAATAACGATTATGTTGTGCTTATTCGGTTTAAAGGAATGCTTATAATGATCAAGAAGGAGAGTTAGTGGATAGATATGGTTACATAGGAAAGATGTAAAGTCTATGAGAAATCCTCTCTTGGGCATAGGACTCTTATAAGTAATGCCAAGATGCATGACATCCGTCAGCCTGTCTAGAAGACTCAGACTTCTAGAGCAAACTATACCTCTGATAAGCAACCTCAGTGGAAGGGAACATGGAAGACTGAGAGTAATCAAAGTGGAATGGTGCCTGGTGAGTCTGAGACTGCACAAGGATGTCTTTACAGGACTTCTTGGCTGTTGCCATGGTCCTAAGTCTGCTCCAGACCATAAGCAATTAGTGGAGAAAGGCTGAACATGCTGTTGGTGGATAATCTATACTTGTCAGAGTTGTTTCCCCAGTAAACGATACTTATGAGTGTAGACTCTGTAAGGTGCCATGTGACCTCAACAATAGTTCATGGTGCTTGGAGTCATACAGGGCTGTACAATGAACTATCAAAAGTAGCTCATTGCACTGTCACCCTAGACCAGGGACTTACTACCAACCTGGATATTGGGGTCCCTGTTAGAGAATTTCATCGAAAACTGAGGACATCAGGGGCATTTTCACCTTGCATTTATTGGAATCCCCTAAAAGACAGGCTTTCATCAGCTGCATATGTCCCTGTGAGCAAAGCTAAACAGATAATACCCCGATGTTCATAGCTAGACTAATTCCTAAAGTGTTTCAGGCAGGCAAGTACCTGGAATGGATGCACTCAGAACAAGACTATTCAATTCCTGATCCTGAGCTTAGACTGCCCAGCTCTTGACACTGTTGGGCATTTGGATGAGGAGCACCAGGAGGAATGACAGACAGTCATGTACAATCTGTGTTGTTACTTCAATCAACAGGATAATCACACACTCTATTGGACTGAGTTGTAGGTTTGGAAGAGGACCAGCAACAAAGGACTGATCACCAGTGCAGTTGAACTGTGCTGAATACATGGGAAGGACTACTTGGCAATGACATTCTCATATTGGGAGGATTTTCAGATTGATAAGGTCATTGAGAGAATGTCTAATGAACCAATGTGAAAACACATATGTGAGAGAGACATCTTAACCTTAACTGAGATAGTTTACAAAGCAACATGGTTTGAAGTTGTAACTTTGAGCTGGTAAATAGAAGAAAAGTCTAAAGCAACAGCTATTGTGGCTACCACTGAAATGAACCATCTTACCAAGACACCTCCACCACAAAGGGCTAGACCTGGACTAAAGGTTAACCAGCTACCCACAAATCTTGGTACTGTGATGCAGCCACACTGGTTACCAGTGAGTGGGCAGGGCTATCCAGTCTACCCGTGAGGTACATGGCACAATGAGGTTTTATAATGAGGTACCCACTGCCACAAGGCCAGGTTATGGGTGCTACAGCAAATATTGATGCATCCACCTGGACATCGGGAAGGGAAGAATGGGTGTTTGCTTTGCTTGTTGACTAGCAGGGCACAGGCAAAAGAACTGTCCATACTTTGCCAAGCAGTGAAGATGGCAGAGATAGTGGATTCAGCTGATGGTTTAATAGATGCCATAAAACCCACGAAATCGACACTTTGCCAAACAGCAAAGTAGGCAAAGTTACCAGTGATGACAATTTCATCAAAAGGCCCAAGATGACCAACAACAGATGATGGATGCTGTTGCAACTGCTCTATATAATTGAATGAGCCTTAATCAGGTTTTGCCACCAGCTTGGGGAGCATAACAAATTACTTGCACTGAAGAATTTACTAGTCATTCCAGCTCAGTCGTGACTGGGTGGAGTTTGATATGTGCTGCTGAGGATGAATTCGTCGTAGATACAAGAACAGCATGAACCATGATGGACCTAGCAGTTTTTCAAACCCTTCATGTAAGACCATCAGTACATCCAGATACCAACTTCATTCCGGTAAACATAAGAGGAGAGGTGGATTTCTGGCTGAGTCTAGAAGGTGTGATCCACAGAGTGAATGCATTAGTCTTTTACAACTTCATATCTGCAACATGCATCCTTGTGATGGGTATACTGCTGAATTTATCCATCAGTTTTGCCTGTGAAATGAGTGAACTGATGCTTTACAGAAAGGTCACTGAATGCCAATCAGATCAAGACCAGATATGGCTATAGCTCACACAAGTGTCTTCCTGTATAAAGGTGATATTCTATGGTTTAATCCAGTCAAAGACTGGTGCATCAATGTCATGTAATGTAGTTATAGACGCCACCCATAATATAACTGTTTTATGTCCAGAAAGCAAACAGCATTGGATCAGAGTTATCCAGCCATGAAGGAATGAAATCCCAGTGTTGATTTATAACTATGGGTGACTGGTTATTCACCTGGATGCTTGAATGGTCATAGGCATGATAAGTAAAGCGAATGTAGCAATTGCTAGCATTAATTCTAGGGTTGCATCTGTGGCTACCAGCACATCCGTGGTTGTTAGCTGAAGATTGTCCTGATAATTTAGACCCAGTGCTCCGAATGCAACTCAGTGAATTATTGGGTGAATATTCCAATGTATTTTTGGGACAAGATGGCCAATTGTGTTGAGCAATTTTGACTCAGCACAATATAGATATGGGTAGCACATATTCGATAAAGCAACAACTACAATGATTTGTCTGGAGCACTAGGGAGGTCTCAAGCACATAAATGCAGTGGCCTTCTGCAGAATGGAGTCATAAAACCTTCAACGAGTACTTGATCATCTCCATTACTGATGGCTAGAAAGAAGAAAGGTAAGCCAAGAATCTCTGTTGATTTTAGATGGGATGTGATAACTTGTGTTGATACATTTCTTCTACCATGAACAAATGAATGTCTGGATGTGCTAGACAGTTCTAGTTGCTTCAACACCTTGGATCTGGCATCTGGATAGTAGTAAGTCGAGCAGGATGATGAAAGTTGGTCTAAGACTGCTTTGAGCACAAAATATGGCATCAGAATAAACCCACATGGATCAAGGAGTTAACTTTAACAATAAACTGTTTACTGATTTGTGTAGATTGTTGGGTAAAGACTAGACCCATACTTTACTTATCACCCCAAGTATAGTAGTACAGATTACCAAGCAGATGCTTTTGAAGCTTGTTAATTCCAACAGAACTGACTGGGTCGAACACTTGCCATATGTCCTGATGACATTTAGAGAAATGAAACAGAGATCTACAGGGTGTTCAT